GGGCTCACTGCCGAGTGTAGCCACGCGACGCGCGTGGTCTCGCTCGTACCCTTGACCCTGTGTTCCTCTGAGCGCCCTCGGTCCGTGATCACTTCAGCTTGAACAACCGGGAATCAGGTCGCATGCATCGCCCTTGGTCCGTGGATCACTTCATTTCCCCCTCTCGCTCGCCGCCGAGAGAGGGCGGGGGAGGGGCGCGGGAGCGTCCCAGGAGACGGGGAAGTTCACGTTCCTGTACAACTTCGACAGCACGGTGTCCCTGAGGCGGGCTGACGGCCCCCCCTCCTTCCGTATCGTTGAGCCGATCCCCATCCCCATCCCCGCCCCCATCCTCCTCCTCCTCCTCCTCCTCCTCCTCCTCCTCCTCCTCCTCCTCCTCCTCCTCCTCCTCCTCCTCCTCCTCCCCCCACCATGCCATCACCCCAGTTCAGGGGCATGCCCCCTCGAGACCCGGAGGAAGCAGCCCGCGCCCCCATCCGGGAGGGCAGATCGGCCGTTGGGGCCCAGGCCACGCCAGTGGGGACGAATCGGTCGGTTAAGGATGATGCTCAGGAGGGGAAAAAACACACAGACACGTTAATCGTCGATTCCCAGGAAAATATGGGAAAATATGGGAAGTGGGGGGGAAGACAGAAACCCAGAAGATATGGGGAAATATGGGGAATATGTTTATTTGTGTGCATTTATTTGTGTGTCCTGGGGCCCCTTCAGATGCTCGCCCCCTCCTCCTGCCCCCCTCCCCTGCCTCCGTTTTGCCTGGAGGGGCGCGCGCCGTCCCACGGGCCGTGAGGCCCCTCGCGCGCGCGCGCAAGGCCGCCGCCCCAGTCGAGGTGGGCGCGAGCACGTCGCCCCCCTCGCCCCACCCCCCTGTCCCCTCTCGCGTGTCGCTGCTCGACCCCCCCCCCCTCTCCTCCTCCTCCTCCTCCTCCTCCTCTCTCCTCCTCCTCCTCCTCCTCTCCTCCTCCTCCTCCTCCTCCTCCTCCTCCTCCCTCGCTCACAGGGTGCACTGCGCGTGGCCATGCGTGCGTCACGCCCTGCCCTCGTCGGCGTCCCGCCGGGGCCCCTCCGCATCCTGAGTGACCAGTCCAAGGGTGTCGCAGCATTCGCGTTCCTTCCCTCCCCCCCGTGCCCCGTGCCCTCCTCTCACCCCTCCTCCTCTCCTGGAAGGGTGTCTCTTTTGGGAGTGGCGTCCATGCCTGGTTTTCCTTCCTTCTGTGCCCAGTGCATCTCTTTTTTTCCCTTCTCCCGTTGCCCGGGCCACCCTTCCCCCTCCTCCTTCCCCTCTCCCTCCCCCTCGCCTTCTCCCATTCCCCTTGTCGTCCTTCCCCTGGTCCCCTCGCCTCTCCGCCCCTTCCCTTCGCCCTTTCCGCTCTCCTCCTGCGAGCCCTCCTCGAGTCTACTCCATCGTGCGACGCGCAGTGAGCAAGCGGGAGTATTACTGGCGTCCAGTGGGTCTTTCCTCTCCATCCGCGCTGCCGCCTCGTACTTTCTCTGGCTAGAAGCTAGAACCTGGTGGAGCCCCCACAACTCGTCTCTTCGATTGATGTAGGCAACGTTCCTCTTTGGCCTGGCGCTCCTCCATTTCACGCTGCGTCGCAGTTTTGATATGGTGGTGTACAGCGATCGGTGGTGCGGCGGTCATCATGGAACGAGAAAAAAGGTGGTAGCTGTGTGTGTGTGTGTGTGTGTGTGTGTGTGTGTAAATGTGCACAAAAGCCTGAACATTTATGATGGTTTGTGCGAGGGGGTAGTGATGGCCGCTCCCGAGGCAGGCGAACAACTCCTGTCTCGCCTCCACCGCGGACGGCCTCTTGCTGCTGGACTGCGACTCGGACGGCGGTGCGACGCACAGTGAGCCACTCCATCACGACGATGTCGTCATGACTTTTTTTACACAGTCGTCTTACTTTGGAGGTGATGAGGTGGACGACGGAGGGGAGGGGGTGGAGGAGGACGAGAAGGGAGGGGATGGGAGGCGATGGGGAATGAGTGGGAGGAGGAGGAGGAGGGGGAGGAGGAGGAGGAGGAGGAGGAGGAGGAGGAGGAGGAGGAGGAGGAGGAGGAGGGGAAGATTGTGCTGCGGGGCGACGCCGTGAAAGGGTCGGCCGTAGGTATGCACATCCACGCGATGCGACGATCTCCGCTTCTTGCAGATATGACCTGCGGCCAGTCTGTGATCTCAGGAGCGGAATGCCTCAGCGGATTTGCGCTCGCATCGACGTCTGGAGGCAGCATATCTGCCAAGTCGGTGCTGCGCCAAATGCGACCGCGCTGAACACGGCAAAGGGTAATCTTCAGATGTTCAAGATGAAGTGATCCACGGACCAAGGGCGATGCATGCGACCTGATTCCCGGTTGTTCAAGCTGAAGTGATCACGGACCGAGGGCGCTCAGAGGAACACAGGGTCAAGGGTACGAGCGAGACCACGCGCGTCGCGTGGCTACACTCGGCAGTGAGCCAGGGGGGGAAGCGAGAAGGAGAAAAGGCCCTCCCAGAAGGCGGCGGGGCTTCTCAGGAGCGCTCGCGCCCTCCGAGAGGTCCTCCGGGTCCTCGGGGAAGGCTCGGACAGCTCCTCGGAAGGCCGGGGAACCTCCGAGCCTTCCGAGATGGCCCGCCCCTTCCCGCGTCTCCCCACGGGGCCGCCGCCGGGCAGCGGGGGACGAGCGAGAGGCCCACGCGGGTCGCGCGGGGCCGCGCGCGAGGCTGCGGCCAAGGAGGGCGATGTGCGGAGCGCAGGGGGACGCTCGCTTCGCCCGCGGGGGGGCGCGCGCATCGGCAGGGAGCGGGGCGTGCAGCGGAGCCGTCGCAAGCAGCAGTCGGAGTGGCGTCAGACGGCGATGGCGCCGCGCACTCCATGCGGCGGGGCGGACCATCGAGAGAGAGAGAGAGAAAGAAACATGGAGAGAGAGAGAGAGAGAGAGGGAGAGAGAGGGAGAGAGAGGGAGAGAGAGAGGGAGAGATAGAGAGTGCACAATCCACACATCCGCACACGCCCTTTCTGCGTCGGCGGCTAGGCGGAGTGACTGCGCTGGCGGAAGGAGCATGTGCAGGACGTCCAGATGCGAGTTCAGCCGCGATGCGCGAGGGGGGGGAGGGGAGACCCGGCGTGGGAGGGAGGGAGGGGACACCATACGCACACATTTTTTTCCGTCAGCGGCGAGGCGGCGACTTCCGCTCCAGCGAGAAGCTAGATGGGGGCATTAACCAGCGAATTGGCCGGCGAGCAGAGAGGGAAGGGGGGGGGCGGCCGAGAGGAAGAAGGGACGCTCAGACGCCGACGAGTTCGACGGTGAGCAACCGGGGGGGGCAGCAGCAGCCAGGCGCGCAGGGCCAGACGCGGTGGGCGGCCGTGGCGAACCACGGTGGCAGGTGGCGGGGAGCGGCAGCCAGCGGCTGGGGCTGGCGGGGGGCACGGTCGAACACCGCCAACGGCGTACTGCGGCGCACCGAGGAGAAGGTATTTTTTTACCATCGCAGCGGAGCCCAGCGGCGAGAGGGGGAAGACGACGGACGACGACGACGACGAGAGGAGGGAAAGGGGGGGCGAGGGAGCAGCGTCCGCGCCCGCCTGGCGCCGCCCGCCTCAGTCAGGCGGGCCAGGGCGAGCGGCCAGCCGGTCCCTGAGGACGGCGCGCCAGGCCGCCTCGTTGCCGCCAGCGCGCGCTGCTGGCAGCAACAGCAGCATGCCCGCGCGCGGCGGCAACGCGGGTACCCACCCACCGCACTGGCGGCAGGCCAGCAGCGGCCGCGTCGGCGCCCAGCACCCGCAGCGCGTGCAGGCGACCCAGGCGGGGCCCTGGGACGCCGTGTGCGCCAGCCAGGCGCGGCCTGCGAAGAGGTTCCGCGCCGCCGCGGCTGCCCCTGGGCGCGGCGCCGCCGCGGACGCTGGGGGGGCAGCTACCCCGCGCTGCGGCGGCGGCGCCGCGGCCGCCGCCACGGCGGCTGCGTCCCCGACGCGGGGAACGCGCCTCCGGCGGTGCCCTGGCGCGGCCCAGCGTCGCCGCACCCTTGGCCTGCCTGGGCAGGGGCCGTGGTTCGCTTTGAGAGCGGCCAGTTCCACCGTCGCCGCGAGGAGAAGGCACAACACTGAATCGTGCGGGTGTGGGAGCAGCGGCCAGACGGCTGGCAGTGACAGGGATACTGCGGCGTGACCGCCCGAGACCAGGTGGCTGGGGGGCGGGGGGAGATAGGGCGGGAGGCAGCGGGCAAAGCGTCCCAGGCGCCCGCAGGCGGCGGGGTGGAACAGCAACGCGGGGGAGGAAACGCGGGGCAGCTGGAAGTGGCAACGCAGCACAAAACTGGCAAAGAGAGGGGAATGGCGGTGACCGCCCGAGGCCGCGCCAGGGGGCCACAGGGCGAGAGGGGAGGGGCGGGTGGTGGCGGGCAAAGCGCCCCGGGCGCCCGCAGGCAGCGGGGCGGAACAGCACCGCAACGGAAGGAGGCGGCGCGGGGCCGCCGCGGAAGGAAGGGAGCACCGAAAGGTGCGAAAGCCGGGTAGCACCGCAGGGCGACCCACTGGGCGGTTCAGTGTGGTGCGTCGGAGAAGCACCGAAGTGGTGCAGGGGACAGTGAGTGAGCGACGCGCGTCCCACACGGGAGGTGCGTCGCGAAGGGCGGCGGCGGGGAGCACCGAAGGGTACTGAAGCCGGGTAGCGACGCTGGGCGGCCCAGAGGGCGGTACAGCGTGGTGGCATACTTTTTTGGTCGCGTCCGCTAGCGAAGGCGCAGGCGGAGTCAGAAACTGTCCGGGGCGCGGAAACAGGCCTAATTAGCTACTGGGCGCGCGGCAGGCCGGCCGGGCCAGCTCACAAAGCAGCTGCTGTGCCGCGCGAAGGCATACGCACACGCGCGCATTCACGCTCGCAGGCATGTTTTGTTGCGCTGGGTGTCACTGTTCCATGGGCCGAGGAAGAAGTTTTTGCGGCGCGCAGTGGGCGCCCCCTGCAGTTGTGATGCCGATGTATAGCAGTGTTCTGCAGCACTCTTGGGCGGCTTTTTGGGCGCGGAGAATGGGTAGGTTCCGTGGTGGCCCCACCCAGAGGCTCTGTCATTACCCACTCCCCCTTCACAGTGAGTGTGTGGGGGGAGGTTCGAACAGTGTAGTCAATGGAATGGAAGCTTGACTCCCCGGAAGTTCCCCGCAGCCTGACTCCATGAAGGAGCGTTCGCGGAGAGTTTTTGTGCAACATGTTTGGGTCCTTGACACAGTCCCAGTCGAACCCCGCCGAACACTAAGAGGTCCCGGACTCCCTCGAAGACGCCTGCTCCAGGGCTTTCCCGACCACTGCCAGTCCACCGCCCCCGATGGGAGTTCACGGTTGGCACCACAGCTTCGCAGAGGGAAACGCGAAATACACAGGAACGATTGCGCGATTGCCCCCTGCAGCACCCACACACACACACCCACCGCGTCAAGGTCGCGCGAATCGAAAGCCTGGGACTCTCCACCACGAACGCTGTATCACAGCAGTTCCCCAGACCTTCCGATCCTCCTTCTCCTCCTCCTCCTCCTCCTCTTTCTCCTCCTCCTCCTCCTCCAGACCGCCGCGCTTAACGACCGACCCCGCGTCAGAGAGTGACCGCAACCAGCGCGAGGGCAGTGCCCACGCGCTGCCCACGCTCTCGCGAGATAGCGCCGTCTGGTTCTCCCGCCGGCCTGCGGTAGAACCTGAGCGCGCGGGAAGCGCACACGCGCGATGTTGCCAGCACAGACACGTAAATACTTCATGCCGTCGTCCAGGTGCATTAATGCGCATACATATATCTACTTACATACATTTTACATGTATGTGTGTATATCTGTAAACGTATACACCGTTGAATGTAATTACGCACGTGTGTGCACATACATGCAGAAGCATGCATGTATGTATATGCTCGCGCCTGCGTGCGTTTCAGAACTATGCCATTCTGGTTTCCGAACACACGAACGCACAGGTCCATACTCGAGTCGTGCTTTTTGATGCCAGCCCGCATGGAAGACCACGGCGGGCCAGCACGGCTGACCAGCATAATGAATCGGTCCTACATTGGCGCTCCGAAAGTTTATTCCGATTTGAGAGGCACGGCGCCGCGCGAGTGCAGCGCAAACGCTATGCTGGAAGGGCGCGGCAATGCATGCCCCCTGGACAGGCGAGAGCAGCCGCGCCCCCGCGCGAACCCCGATCCCGCGCGGGGCGCGTTCCCGTTGACAATGGCTCATCCGGGAAAACATTTCTTGTGCAGGAAATCCTGAGCGGTCTGCCCATCGGCGGCTCCTTCGGACGAGGCCCGGAACCACCGAGAAACCGTTTTTGGTAGGAAATTCTAGGCGGTTTGCCCATGTTCGGTTTCTTCGGAGTGGGCCCGAAAACCTGGAAGACTAGGTTTTTTTGCAAGGAGTCCTAAGCGGTTTGCGCATGTTCGGGTCGTTCGATCCGGACACGATTTTTGGGACAAGTCCTATGGCATATGGCCATTTTCAGGTCGGTCGGTCAACTTTTCGGGTCGTCGCGTGACCGAACCCGACAGTTTTCTTCGAGGAGGTCCTATGCCGTTTGCTCATTTTCGGGTCAGTACGCCGTTTGGGATTTAAAGTTTTAAATGGGGAAGGGGAACCCGATCCCGCGACCCCAGGCGGGGGTTAGGCTCTGCCCTTGCATTGTACTGGGCCCTCCGGCCAAACGGGGTGCTGGGCTGCCCATCGGCGCGCCGACTCTGCCCTCGCGACATCGCCCCCGTCCGCCCTCGGGCTCCGCGAGTCTTATCCTGTGCGCGCCACCCCAGGTGGCCGCGGCGAAAACGGTGGCGAAATTGTGGAAACTTTCGGATCGGCGCAGTATATGCGTCGGTCTGTTGTTGTTCAAGCATCTTGGGGTGCCCGGTCCTCGTTTCGAAGAGACAGTCCCTGAGTCCAATCCTTCCCCTCCTTCTCCTTTTCCTCGTCCTCCTCAATTCGCTTCCTGATAAGCAATTCCTTTCTGTCGCACCCCGAGGCCGGTCGAAACGGCGGGGCAGGCGCTTCGGCTGAGATTTCTTGACCATTTCTGATCCTGAAGCTTTGAAGTTGGCAGCATTTTTACACAATGAGGGCGGGCGGTTTTTTGAAAGCGTGGCTCTCGCCCTAGCGCTGCGCACATTCGTTTAAATAATTGCGTTTCTCGCCTTAGCGCCAGGTTCACTCGTTTTGAGCATTTGCAAGAGTCTCGCGGTTCCCAACATGCCGTCACTGATGTTTTGGAAGCATTCAAGGTTGTGAGGGCGCAACAATTACGTTGATTCGCCGTGTTGAAATCCCAGTGTTCTGGCACGAATCAGGGTCGTCAAGACGCAACAGTCATGTTGATTCGTGGCGTTGGTGCTTTTGGGACGCTTCCGGGTGTTCAAACGGTTGTTTCTCGAAGCAGGCAGTTCCCTCAATGGAAGTGAACCTTCTAGGGGCCGAATGAAGAGGGATCTTGGAGGCAGGGTTTACGCCAACATCTTTGATGTGGTCTGTCCTCTTCCTCCTCCTCCCTCTCCCCTCCCCCCCCCCCATCCTCCCATCCCTGCCTCTGCCCTCCGCCTGTCGACCTGTTCGGCACACCGCCCAAACACATCGTTTGGCCCTCAGGGAGCTCCACCGAAAGCCCCAGTGGCAAGGTCCACATGTGTCTCCCCCATCCAGTGCAAGTTCTCGTGGCCCATGGGAACTCAACCGAAAGCTCCAATGGTAAAGTCCCCTTGCGTCTCCCTCGCCCAGCACACTGTTTCGTGGCCCATAGGGAGCCCCACCGAAGGCCCCAGTGGCAAAGTCCACATGCGTCTCCCCCACACAGTACAATGGTTCGTGGCCCATAGGGAGCTCCACCGAATGCCCTGGCAACGTTCGCATGCGTCGCCACCACCCAGTACAGCGGTTCGTGTCCCATAGTGAGCTCCACCGAAGACGATACCCACAATTGCGGCACTCACGATTGCATATGGTTGGGTTCCTCGCCAGGGCTGAGTCCGTGATGGCGTGTCGCTAGCGGGTCCCAGGGGAGGACGAACGACAATTGCAGGAGCGTCCCATGGGGGGGGGGCGGGCAGCCCGAGACCACCCTGTGAGACCACCCGTTCCGGAGGCGGTCTGGCAGCCATTGCGCTTGAGATGCTTCAAGCGTGTTCACGAGTCGTGGTTCTCGCCTCCACACCAGCTACATATCTATGCTCAGATGACCACGATCCCTTGTAACAGATACGCTAGGATCCGCATGGCCGTGCTATCACCCTTGTCCCCTATAGCCGCCAGCCTCTTCACCTTTGCTGCTATTTGGTTCTCTGCCAGGGGACTTTCTCCACTTTCTAGTCAGACGCTCTTTCGGAATACTCGTGGACAAGCGCGGCTCTTCCCACTGTGGTCCAGCTATACCTCGCGATCCTCCCATCGTTGTTTGGGCGGAAAGCATCGAAAGCGTAACTTGTCTGGCGTAGTTAGCCAATTGCGTGTTGGGGCACGTTTTCAATCCAAAAGGGATGTTGGGGTTTATGGTCTCAGGATATCTTTGGTGGCTCCAGAGAAATCCAGAGTTCCGTTTGTAGGGTAGGAGGATCAGGATGCTTGAAGGCCTCGATCTTTCTCGAGCCTCGCTCTCTCTCCTCTTCCCCGAAAACGGCCGAGGTGCGGTGGCCACCTTCACCCCGACCGTCCTGGAGTTGGAAGGCGCCCGCGCGGCGGCGCCAGGGGGGCTCCGTGGTTCGCCGACCGCGTGCCACTGCTTGCATAGTGCTTGCTCGCAAACGTCAGAGAAAAACACATGTCCGCTTCGATGCAATCTGTCTTAGATCCCCGGCGGCGGATCCAGGCCGTTGCGGCGGCGGCGGCGGCGGCGGCGGAGGAGGAGGAGGAGGAGGAGGAGGAGGAGGAGGAGGAGGAGGAGGAGGAGGAGGAGGATGAGGAGGAGGGAGGAGGTAGGAGGAGGGAGGAGGAGGGCAGGGAGGGAGGAGGGAGGGGGAGGGAGGGCGGAGGGAGGAGGGAGGAGGGAGGAGGGAGGAGGGAGGAAGGGAGGAGGGAGGAGAGGAGAGGGAGGAGGGAGGAGGGAGGAGGGAGGAGGGAGGAGGGGGGGGGGGGGGAAGGGGGGGGGAGGGGGGAGGAGGGAAGGAGGGAGGAGGGAGGAGGGCAGGAGGGAGGAGGGAGGAGGGAGGAGGGGAGGAGGAGGAGGGAGGAGGGAGGAGGGAGGAGGAGGAGGGAGGAGGGAGGAGGGAGGAGCGAGGAGGCGAGGAGCGAGGAGGGAGGAGCGAGGAGGGAGGAGGGAGGAGGGAGGGAGGAGGAGGGAGGAGGGAGAGGGAGGGAGGGAGGGGAGGGAGGGAAGGAGGAGGGAGGGGAGGGAAGGAGGAGGAGGGAGGAGGGCGGGAAGGATGAGGGAGGGCGGGAGGGGGGAGGGGGAAGGGGAGCGGGGAGGGGGAGGGAGGGAGATGAGGGAGGGAGGAGGGAAGGAGGGGGAGGGCGGAGGAGGAGGAGGAGGGGAGGGGGGTATGAGGGAGGAAGGCGGAGCGAGGAAGCGAGGAGGGAGGAGGGCTACGCAATAGGATTGCGGCAGGATGGGTCGCTTCAACCAATTGGGAGGAAGGGCGGATGTGAGGGAGGCGGGAGGGAGGGAGGGAGGGAGGGAGGGAGGGAAGGAGGAGGAGGATGAGGAGGAAGGGAGGAGGAGGAGGAGGAGGAGGAGGAGGAGGAGGCGGAGGAGGAGGAGGAGGAGGATTTTTTTTTATGGACGACCCATGAACAGCCACATGACTCCGCTGGCGTGGCGAGTGCCAGCGAGATGCACCAAAAAACGGCGCAGGCCGCGCCACCGACGGGGCCATGCCCCCGTGGCGCGACCAAAGCGCGACCAGGGAGCGCTGGGAGACCGTGCTCCGCGCTCCCTGGTCGGGGTAGGGGGCGCGAGCCGTGCTCAGCGCCAACCCTACCCACCACCCACACCATGGGTGGCCGCGTTTTACGGCCCCGGGACCACGACACGACGCGACACGACAGGGGGACGAAACGAACGACGC